CGCCATTCAAGTACGATTCTTATATGCTACACATCGTTGAATGCCTGAAGTATTCCCCTCTCGTCATCGCCTTAACTAAGGTTGAGTTTGTTCCAATGTCTCTACTCTTGAAGGCTTATTCTTCAGCATCGTTCATCAAAGAGGAAGAACGCATCACCTTCGAGATCTCTGACAAGAAAACCTCCATCACCAAGTCCATATTCTGTTCTCTACTAGGTCTTGCTGTCACAACTAGGAATTTCTGATATGTTGTAAACACTTAACAAGGATAACATTGTAGCTAAAACTTGAAAACATGTATGGTGCTTGTTCAATGACCACAAATTCCATCAAATACTCTATACAAACATCAAAATAGTCAACAAAAGGTTGGAAACCCTAAATATCCCGGTTTAAGTCTATTTTTGGACTAGGATTTTCTTATTGGGCCTAATGGACCAATAAACTTCCAATTTGACTTTTTGGGTTTAGAACTCTTAAATAGGCCCTAATTGGACCCATTTGCATGAAACTTAATATTTTGGGCCTGATAAGCCTAAAATGAACTAGGTTATATTCAATGGGCCTTATTGGGCCATAACAAATCTAAATAGCCCTAATGGGCCATAAGACTCATACTTGAAGAATATTGGGCCGTGAATTACTCAAAAAGGGCCAATGGGCTGAAAATCATCTAAATGGCCCATCATATGAACTTAAACACAAAATGGCTCAAAAGACCTCTTCTCTCTTCTCTCTTTCTCGGCCCTAGAAGTAAACAAAAAAAAGGAGAAATTCATGAAATAAGGAGGGTTAGCCACCTCCTTATTACACCATGGACTTCCAAGCAACATCACATACCTCCATGCAACCATCCTTTCATCTCTCTCTCTCTTCTCCTTTCTTCTTCTTAATTCTCGGCTAAAGGAGGAACAACATACACACACAAACCACTTAGATTTTCTCTCAAGAACACCATCATAATCTTTTCTTCTTCATTAAAAAATTTCGAAGATCTTGGGCACTTCAAGTAGGATTTTCCATAAGAGTCATCATCCTAGGTAAGTTGATGCTTAAATCCATGATCTAATTACTTCATTTCATCAAAAATCTCCTCTTGATCTATTCAAATACATGATCATGCTTCTTAGAACACATCTAAGCCAAAGATCTTCCAAGGAGCTTGCTAGGCTAAAAATCACATCACTTTCTTCCATTTCTTCTTCAAAACCGTGATCAACTAAAAAAGGTGAGTTCATACCCCTCTATTTTCGGTTTTTACAAGTTTTATGGGGGAGAATACAAGTAAAATGTGTAGATCTATGTGTATGTGTATGTTATGTGTGATTTCATGCATGTATGTGTAACTTTATGTGTTTATGTGGCAAATATGTAACAAAAAGGGAAGAAATCTAGGGATTTATGGAACAAGAAGGAAAACAAACATGATCTAAGATATACGACACTAAACAAGTCAAGAAAATTACCCTCTAAGATTATAATAAACATATTGCAACATAAAACCCATTTTTTGGCTATAATTGTCAAATAAACAAAAGTTGGGTTTAAAAATTGTCATTCACGATTTTCTTAAGGACCAAAAGAGTCAATACAGTAAAAATAAATGTTTTTATGAATATTATACTCTTTAAAGGACTAGAAATGTAATTTGTAGCTTAATGGGCTAATTTTTGGGCTTTTCGGCTCACAGGCCCAAAATTTGCAAAATTATGATTTTCAAGGGACTGAAATGGTACAATTCCCAAAACAGGGGGAAAAAGGAGTAAACAAAACTATTTCAAGGGTTAAAATGCTTTTCTTTTCCAAAAAGGATCAAAAATGTAAAGTTTTTTTGAATTTGGGCCAAAATTGTAAAAGTTGCGAAAAGTTTGGGTTTTAACTGAAAATTCTGTATTTGAGGGGCTGAGACTGCCAAAGAGTAAATTTTGAGCTAAAAACCTTTATTTAAACAAGTCTATGGGTCAAAAATGTCAAGAAAATGAGTTAACGGCCTAAAATGTCTTTTCTTTATGTAAGGGAGTAAAATTGTCATTTTTATTAAAGAAAGGGTTGAATGGATCAAATCAATATTTTGAGTCAATTATTTTGGTTTTAAGTCATTTGGGTTAAAAAGAATACCACATTACAACTTATGAAAATAGAATGAAAAATATACATATATTTTCAAATATCGTTATAAACAACCGAAAAGTTTCGTGCCGTTGAGATTTTAACAATTTTTCAATCAAACTTTCGACCATTATATTATACCTAAAACACGTAAATATTCAAATAGTTGGGCTTGAAATATCTTAATCATGTCTAATGGGCCTTTGTGACCCATTAACGTGACTTTTGGGTTCGACGATAATAACACATGTCTATTGGGCCTCTTGTGACCCAATTACAAGTTTAAGGGACCCTCAATGGCTTATATGTGCTATTGGGCCTTGGTGGCCCGTTAGCATTGCTAGTAAGGTCCAAATTTAATCAAATATGAAATGGGTCAATGTGTCCTTCGTATAACCAACCGCCTTAAATAACACGCGTAATTAGCAGGACTTTGTATTCCTCTTCTCCGTGTCTGTTAGGCTTATTTGAAATCAAAGTAAACAAATCCCGGTCGTTAATCAACAGTAATCAATTTTGTTTGGATTAAGTGAGTAATAACGGGCGACACCTCTAAGGGTTGTTCGTAGTCTGTAGTTATAATCAAAGTCTCCTGGAAGGAGAGCGAGAGTTTGTGTATAGATCTATACGGGGGTGACTCCCCCACACCTCAGATGTTCGCTACAGTTAGACTCGGCCAGTCTAGGGTGACAAAATCTTAAGATCAATTCTGGCGTACATTAGGATGCCAAGACAGACGAACTACTCATTATTATGCATGGTTATAACGACTCACATAATTAAATAAATCCAATACTATCCGAGTAATCAAGGAAAAGTAATCAAAATCACTCGTGTGGCGGTATAACAATCTGAAAACAATTATATTTTATGTTATCGGAAAACATCGGGTTTTTCGAGGGAATCAGCACCACTATCTTATATTTTTCTATAACTATAAAACAAAACTTCCCATTTATACACGTTTTGAAATCATTCATGCACCAACTTATGGATCTTCACACTTTAGTATAAACAATTATTCTTTCAGAAAATATCGGATTTTCTGGGTTTTATAAACTACACAAATCATTTTTATCACAACCCTGCTTATGAACTCACCAACATTTCATATGTTGACATTTTTCAAAATAACTTGTATTCTCAGGTAACAGGTAAGCTGCAGGGTAATATCAAGTATGTTAGGAAGTTATGTTTTGAAAACTCTCAAACAATTGATGTCATGGATATGTAATATTTAAACAATGTACTGGATGTGAACAATGTCAATCGTTATGTATTAATGCATGGTGAAGTTTATGTTGTGTTTCATGTATAATCATTGTGATGATATTCAATTTAAGTCACGCGAGCCCCCGGATGTTTTCGCCGTCTGGTTCGGGGGTGTGACACTTGCCTACGATGACTCAATGGTGAATCCAGTCTCGATCTCCACTGCATCTATTTTTGAGATGTTCTATGAGATGGAATATAAAGATATCATTCCATCAATCTACAAGATCAGAAAACCCAACCTGCCTCCTCGATAGAATGGTTTGTTCACTCTTCTCTTCAAAGTGTTTTCTAAGAGAGTCATAGGTTCAGACTGTGCATGCAAGCAAATCATGACTCTAATTTATGGTCTTTACTACGGAATCAACCTTGATTATGGCACAATTCTATGGTCTCAACCGGTGCAAAGTACTCACTCCACGACACGACACAGTGAGATTTCCTGTGCTCGTTTTTTGACCGTTGTTGCTCAAAGGGCAATCGAAAAAAACCAAGTACCCATCATTAAAGATTCCCTGATGTCCTCCATTGCTACTTTTCACACCACCAAGATCATTATCGCTGATATCTCCACGTTTCCCTTTGATGGTTCCATTCCTGAAACCATATTTCGTTGTGTTCCAGCTGCCAGCAATATTTTGGAGGAATACAAAAAGCTTCCATCTTCAGGAGCTCGCACCATTACTCCTGAGATGCGCCTATCAATTGATGAAGCTGACAAAGTAAAAAATGGGGGGGTAAGCAAAAACAACCGAAAGAGGGTCCATCTGAGCCGGCTGTCACTCCAAAGAAGTGAAAGGCGAAAGTTGCTCCTTCTGGAGCCAATCCCAAGAAGCGAAAGCAGTCCGCTCGCAAGTGAAAGACCCCAACACCAAGTGCAAGCGAAGGTTCAGTGTCTGATACACAGTCTGATACTCGTAATAAGGAGGAGAACCAAGTTCGCAACGAGGAGGATGACACAACTCACAAAGAAGAGGAACTCGTTCAGAACACAGTAGACACATCCAATCCATGGGTAACTCCAACTTTCACTGATTCTGTTCCTTCTCCTCCTCCTTCACCAAAAACCACCTCTATCCCAATAACCATTGCCCCATGCCCTCCACCAGTTTCTTGACAACAATAAACCAACATTCCTCTCTCCATCTCACTGTTCACTGATTCAACAGTACCTCCTACTACCTCAACCCTCCCTTTCGTTTCAGTCAACGTATCTGATACGGGGGCTCAAACTTCAGGTTTCTCCACCCATATTTCACCTCCTATTTCCCTTATTAACCGTGATGACCTAGAAATGGTCTTTGGTGATGACGACGATGACGATCTTGGGGGTTTACTTACAGTCCATTCCAAATTCGGACTGAGAGTGAGGATGAGGCGCAAATTACGAAAAGGAAAATTCAGTCCTTTCATGAAAAGATCGATAAATTACTTCTCTCTGCCAAGGCTTCCTCTTATGATGCATATTTTAAAGCCACAGTAGATTCACTCTTTGAACGAATCTCAAAGGAGCATACAGCCAATGTTGACAAGATGGACAAGGTTGTTGCTGATTCCGCTTAGGTGTGCAAGTCCACGACCAAAAACTCGGTAAACTAATTGAAGAAACTAATGCTTTCATGGAAAATTTTCAAACTACTTTCAACTCCAACACCACCTCAGCAAATGAAGCATTGAAGAGTCTGGGCTCTTTCTTCAAAACCGAGGAGACTAAACTGCAAGAGATTCGCACTGGTCTGAAAACTGATCATGAATCATTTCAAGCCACTCTCCCGTCTCAGGTTTCACAGCTTAAAGACGAACTTCTAAAGGAGACTAACCTCAAGGACTCTCTCACACTCAAGTCAGAAGAAGCCAAGGTGTTGAGTACCAAACTGGAAGCTTTGGAGCAGCAGGTCAATGATCTGTTATCTGAGACGGAAGACATGCGAAGTTGTATAACTGATGTTACTGGCATGCTCTCTGATATCATTGAGACCAGGGACTCCATGATCACCATCACAATGCGTAAGCATCTGGTAGAAAATTTAAGGCCAGTCTTCGCAATGCCTCACCGCGTTGAAGGTGTTTCTGATCAATCCTTTCATCGAAAACAAGGGGGAGAAGGCGTGGTTGGTGGATCACGAAAAGAAGAAGCCAAAGCTCCTGTCAAGCTTGTTGTCAAGAAAGAACCCAAGCTCAAGGAAAAATTGTTCAGTGACGACCCAATTCTTCATAATGAAGAAGAAGAAGAGCCTGATCGAAAAATTCATGGAGCTGAACTGGATGAGCACCAACGAATCATTCATGAAGCTGAAGAAAAAGAAAGGGCTGAGTAAGAAGCACAGGCTACTCTTCAGAGCAAAAAGCTCTTTTTTCCCAAATGGACCTTGAAGCGAATCCAACGTGATGTTGTTGATCTTACAAGCCAGTATTGGTTAGAGCCAATAGTTTCGTTTGATCTTCAGAACACACAAGACTCACAACTGGATCTGCCAATTACTCCAAAAGCTTTCAGGTTCTGTTCTTTTGTTAAAGTGGCGAACGCTCCATTCACAGATAGCGGGGCTGATCATATGCTATTCTCGTTTTATCTAAAGCATATCAAGCCACAATACGAAACCTGGTCGTTGAGCAAAATTACCGTTGTGAAAGTTACAGGGCCGATCGAGACTGATTTCTTCCCAAACGCAAAGTTTAAAGTAGCAAGAGGTTCAGCTAGCCAATGCTACGATTTTACTCTCGCAGATCTACAATGGCCTAATCCCTACGACTGGTTTGTTCTTTACAACATGTTGCTAAAGGACAAAGAAAAATACGAAGTTGTCATGTCTCATCTTAGGCAAATGATAAAGTCCTATGTTCAGGAGATTGGGGAGATGGATGTTGAATTTGCTGCTGTCCAACGAAAGAAGAATTCTGTTGTTCGCAAGGAAACTCCTAAGGATTTTGAAAAGTTGAAGTCGTGGAAGATTTATAGTGGAGATTGGTTAGTGGTTTATTCTGCTAGGGAACGAATTGGCGCAGACTTTCGCAAAGGATGCTTCTTTCTTCCTGATAAACATCTTTATACCACATCCTTCATTGAGTTCATTTTGGACCAGGTGAGCAAGTTCAAAGGCAACAAAAAAGACGACCTGAGGTGCTTCTCAAATATGATTTTGTGGTACGTGCAAGTTCGACAAGCAAGTTTTGCTATCATTCTGAAGGTGTATGAAGTACAGAAGTGAATCCAAGGCTAATGGGTTCGTGCCCCAGTTGACGCAAAGGGGGAGATTGTTGGGTATTAGATGTTGCGTCATTGGGCCTATTAGTTAATCTTTTGTATTATCAAGTTGGGCATGTCCACTCGTTATTAATTCTAGGGTTAGAGTATTTAATGTGCATGCATGAATCGTATTTTAGAAAACTCTGATCTTTTACTTTGTAACCCTAATCACGCCTCTACAGTAGCAATTCTTCATAGAGTTCTTCTAAGGCGTGATGATTAATCATTCCACATTCTTGAATCTTTATTGTGTTCTTCTTTTACCTGTTCTTGAATCTAATCGATCATGAAGGATATTAATCCTAACAAAAACATGTTACTTTACATTTGACAAGTGTTATAAACCTTCTTAAATTAGTGTCACTCAAGGCACAAGCTTGGAGTATGACTCTAAGACTTCTTTTGGAACGAACTATGACTCGTCTTCTAGATTTAACCAATTCAAAAATTCACAATTCCTATTCTTATCCATACAAATGCACTAAGATATCCTTAGAGGATCAATTGTGACATGGTTTTCATAATCATAAAGATGATCATAAAACACGATACTCAAGTACTCTCCCATCTTTTCGGATTCGAGAAACTTCTATCTTTCAACCTAATTTTATTTTTCTTATTCGTTCTGCTATACATTGAAATCTTTTCAACGATTCAGAATTATACTTAATCTTGTAAGTATAACCGTATTTACTAAACTTTAGTAAATCATGACGAATAGTCTTATCGATGTTTGTGGTGGACCTGACCGGCACACACCCAGTGTACCCGATCCCCTAGTCCTTCACTTGACTCACATATTAATATGAACAAGGAATTAGCCTTAATTTCCCAAAGACAAAGGTTCTCATTCATCACACACTACAAGTTGCATGATTCCAAGTTTCTATCAAACTGAAACTTGGGTGATGAGAATCTTTCCTTATTTGTTAAATTCTCGACACTGCCACAAACGAAAGAATCAAATTCCTATTGCTTACATAGAAACATACAAACATCAATGTTCACAAATGTCATTGCAAGGAAATAGAATAAAACAAAATTTTATTTATTTATAAAATGCGGAAAAAATTTTCCTTACAATGCAATTACAAATGAAAACTATGTTTCTTAATATTTATAAGTAATTTATCATAACTCTTAAGCAGCAGCTCAAGAATCCGATCATCGAACCATGCGATTGAAATCCATCTTCGCAACCAGATTCAGGATACTCTTCCTTTAAGCTTCCTTCCTCTTCTTCGATCCTTCAAAACATCAAAATGTAATTACATTACATCATGTATTAAGGATCTCCAAATAGGAACTTAATAGAGTTAGATAGTTGACTTACCTGAAGCATAGTCATACACTCTTACTTTACCACCCTTGTGGTCCTTCAGGTAGATACCACAACTTTGCAACCGATGCCCCTTCTCTTGGCAATAGAAACATATGGAATCTTTGGGAATGGTACACGGGACTATCTCAGACTTAGCATTTCTCTTTACCATTCGGTCAAATGACTTGACCATGGCCAATCCCTTTCCATTGGGAAGAGAAAGATTTTCTAGACTTCCAATGTTCCCATTGTCAATGTCCATGGAAGTTTGGGAATTAGATCTTCCAATCAAATTTGCTTTACCAGTGCGCCAAATCATTGTTGATTCAACAACAACAAGAAAATATGTTAGATCAATAAGGATCATATCGTGATCTCCCATATAGTAATCCTTAAAGAACCCGCTGTAACACCAGCAAAATTAGGTCAAAAATAAATTTGTTCAGAAACCATAATTGAGTATACTAAGTGGTAGATATCGTAACTAGGTTTCCAAAAATATAAAGACACTAAAATCCGAGTTATAACGAAGAAGTTATGACTGATCGAAGATATGCGACAATACTGGTAAAACACTATTAAGCATAAAACGAGAAATTTCAATAAAATACTTTTCAACCTTAGGTATCTAAATGAAAGTCGTAGATATCCCAAAACCGTGAACAAGCATAAAAAGAACGCCCAAATCTGACTTCATATGAGGAAGTTATAATTTTTCGAAGTTTCGGACGTAGCAGTAGACAGCTAAAAACTCGAAATAGAGATCGAGCGACTTTTTGCCAACATGACCTAAACGAGAATCGAAGATCTCATCAATGGTATTACAACGGTAAGAAGTCTGACGAAAACGGACATCGGATGAAGAAGTTATGGATTTTTAACGGACTTTTCCTGTCCCGGCCTGTTAAAAATATAATATTAAAAATAAATTCAAAATTAGCCGATGAAGTCTAAATGAAAGTTGTAGAGCATAATCTCACCTACGTGTGCATATAAAGAACGTCAAAATCGGAGCTCGTATGCGAGAGATATGTATTTCTGAAGTTCGGGGCGCAAACCCCAAGGCTGTGCCAGTTCACGAGGTGAGCATTAGTAACTCACGAGGTGAACAGATGATGGACGTCTTCTAGGGCAAGTGGCCATGACGAACGCAATGACGTATCGAGCTCACGAGGTGAATATTAGAAACTCACGAGGTGAGCCAGTTCACGAGGTGAATATTAGAAACTCACGAGGTGGACTCAGAAAATTCACCCTATAAATAGAAATCGAGGGTCAACCGAGTTTGGTTGCTCATCTCTTACTCTCCCACTCCCGATACTCTCTCTAAGCCCTATTTTAACCCCCGAAGCCCCGGTATCATCCCGAGACACGACGCAAGTCCCGAAGTCCCGAGATTTCCGAGAAATCGACTTCTTTCCAGTCGAAGTGCTGCCCAAGCAACGCCTCATTTTCATCAAATCGTCACTCCTAACAAGTGAGTTCATACCCCTACAAACACACTTTAATTGCTTTTTAAATGCTTTTGAAACACCTTTAAGGTGGGGGGGGGAATACAAGTAAACACACGGTTAAAATCGTGTGAAACACCAATCTTTTGCTATACATTTCGTACTGTTATTTTAACTATCATATGAAGTTGTTATCATGCAAAACACCTCACAACACAACTTTACCCTCTTGGGATACAATATCTTTTATAAATAGAAATATGCTTTATTTATGTGTTTGCATACTAAATCATATCAAGGGTAACCATTTCAACTATAACATGATGCTTTTACAAGAAAACTCAACTCATCATCACGCCTTTGTAACAGGGTAGAAAAGGAAATCATTTCATACAAACGATTTTTCATCATATTACTCGTGAACTTGTTGTTAGCAATCATGTGATGTCATATGGCTTTGTTTGTACCAAACGAAAGTCCCCACCTATAACCAGAGTCTCTTGGAGGGAGAGCGTGACAAGTGTGTATAGATCTATACGGGGCTGACGACTCCGCACCCTGACTGTTAGCTACAGTCCCCGGGGTGACAAATGTCAACATAGGTACTGCGTCTAGTATGGTTATGAGGAACTCACAACACGCAGAAACAATGACTCATGCATGTAGTAATACATAACTCAATCATGCTCGGGGGGTAGTAACTATATTATAGGGTATTATCAGCATGTTCAGAATTCAGGATAAACACTTCCACAACTAGTTTTACTTAATAATAAAACTATACATCTTCATTTCTAAGCATGGCATAGTTGCTTACAACTTAAATGTTGACACTTTTTCTTTGAAATAACTTGTATTCTCAGGAAATCGCTAAACCAGGTTAGCAACTGCTTTTGAAGACTTACGCTCAGGCGTTAGTTTAATCTTTTGGATATCATATTGTAATTGACTTTTGCAAACATGTAATACTACAATCATGTAAACTTTTCAATTATGTATATGATGGTCGTGTGTACATTCTTTACTATTCATTTGTTATGATATTGTACATGACGTCCTCCGCCCCCGAACGTTTCCGCCGTTCAGGTTTGGGGGTGTGACACCCGCTATATGACTTAGGAAGTGATTGAAGAACCCAGTCAACAGCCAACTTACTCGAGACTTCCACACCCAACTCTCCCAAACTGTCAAATATGTAACTTCATCTCTAAGACTTGAGCACATACAGACTTTCCTTCCTGCAAATTGGGCTTTGAGTGACCTTGAACTTGTGGGTTAGATAGAATTATTGGAGGATGT